GGGGCTCTCCCTCTATCTTAACCCCTTAGATTTGATATGTAGCCACCTCTACGTGTCCCTGATGCCAGCCAGAAAGACAGAGATGCGCAAAAGATCCGGCTAAATGAGAGTCATCAGTAAACATTTGCTGATGCCAAAGCTGCTCTGCATGTGGAGAGCTTTTCTTAGACGACGTGGGCCCTGTTCCCACCAAACACAATACAAAAGCCTCAGACCTGACCCACTCCCTGAGTGTCAAGATTTCATTTAATCAAAACTTCACTGCTGAGGGTCATCTTAAGCTGTGCTTACACACACAGACACAAACAAAAACACTTGCACACAAGGACAGTCTACTCAATCCTTGTGATGTCATGGGAGCCGAATAGGAGATCCAGGATGTAATTAACAACAGATTATTTTCACAGGAAAAAAATACAAAATTGAGTCATGGAGAAGCGGGAACCTGAGGAACGCATCAGAGTATCCCGTTAACTTTTAACACAATGTGAGCCATTCCTCATGTCAGTAGTCGTGAGTGTCAGGATTTTCTTTGTTTCTCTTCCTTTCCTATTACAACATTTTTCTCCACTTTCTCACACGTTCACTTTCTTTTTTCATCCCCACAAATCCAGAGTTTTCCTCAGTGATGAACGCAAGTGGTGTTTTATTTGTGAATCCTTGCTGTGGTCAGTGAGTTGGCCGGGGGGGCGGCTGCAGCATTAGGGGTTCTCTGGGCTTTCTCACAGCGCTGTCCAAGGCATGACTACTGCTATAGTGAAAGGGAGGCGGGATCTGGCACTGTGCAGCATGGAGTGTGGAGCGGTCATGGCAGAAATGGCACGGTGAGCACATTTCACACCTCCCTCGGAGTGACTGCAAATTTCCTGTACTGCACTTTTGATTGGAAACACATTTGAAACATCTTTTCATGATCACACTTACGCCGTACAAAAGAAAAGAAAAAAATAAAAAGCAGCTAGAATGAGGTCCAAACTATGAGTAAGTGCACTGAGCTAACTTGGGACCTGACAAATGCTTTTTTTTTTAATCTTCTATTTTTCCAACCTTGAATAAATCAGAAATGTGCAGAGTTTAATCTAAAGCAGCACAAAGATTATAAATCAAATAGTCCTCTGAACACTGTGAAAAGCAGCTAAATAACTTCTTCTCAGATGGTGTACAAGTACAGCCACCTATGCAGTAGTCAGATGAACAGAAGAGAGAAATATGTCTAAAGTTGTACTGTGAAGTCACCATCTCCAACACAGTCCATTCATGGTTTATCAAAGGGACCCTGCCAGTTTGTGGTGCTCTGGCAGACCCTTAGCACGTCTGGGCCAAGAGATCACTATCTCCATAATAATATACCAGTCACTCACTCTTAATAAATCACTAAAATACACTACACAGTGTAGGGCATCATAGCCACTCTTGCCCTCTCCTCTATTCTCTGCCAGCATTTCAGTTGCAATGTTCAGACACGTTGCTCCATCTGTTTTGTAGTCTTTTTTTCTTTTTTGGTATTTATCTGAGGTTCCTAAAAAAACAGGGGGAGAAGGTTGTGTATTGTGGCATCGTGGTTTGTTCTGTTACGGCTGCGGTGTGTTACGCTCTGTAACAGAGAGGATCTCAAAGGCTGGCTGGCTGCAGAACAGTCTGAGAAAGCCTGACGGCAAGCCCAGAGATTTCCCGTGGCAGCTTTTGCCACTCTGTCATAAACAAAACACAAGACGTCTTTCTCTTCTTCCCACACCAACGGGGTTTGGGTGCTGCCAAACAGAACAATCACTATTGTAGCCTCTTCTCCTTTCCAACGTGCTTTCTCTCTCTCTCTCTCTCTCTCTCTCTGTCTCCTACAATATAAACAAAAGAGATCAGCAGAGGCTTTACCTCTGTGAGAGCAACAATGAGGGCGATGTTTAAGGAGACAAAACAAAAGTGTGCACGGGATCAAAGAGGAGTGAGGAAGACAGAGATGCTAAAGACCGACAAAATACAAACCAAACAAAAACAAACAATGAGCACATCTTGTCATTCACTCTGCGACTGAGGCAAAAAAAAAAAACCCACAACCACACATCACTGTAACAGACAAGTGCCTGTTACTCACAAATATGTCAGGTAAAAGTCATGGAGAGCCAAGTGTCGTAACAGAGGCGACCTTATGGAACGTTCACAAACACCGGTTTGCCCTTTGTCTCTCCCTCTCTCCCTTTCTCTCTTTGTCTGTAGACCCCAAAGCGTCTCTGCACCCAGGACTTAAACTGCGCATTGGCTCTTTGGAAGAAGATAAAAGTACCGAGGCACACTGTGTTAATCAGATAAGATAAGAGAAAGCACACGGTAAGTCAACATTATGAATGAGCGGCATACTGGGCAGCCCGTCCAAGCAACCATGTGTTTTACTGTACTGCTGTAAACCAAAGTACTGTGGCGACGATTGCACAGCAACAAACAGTCCAGAAAACTGGACAGCTGACGATGTCAGAGGAGGGAGAGGAAATTTGTCATGATACATTTTCAGTTTGTTAATGTGCACGCATCAGAGCGCATACAACAACTGAAAATACAGCATTTCTTCATGTTTTACGATGCAATCTCCAAATATCATGCTCTGTAGTTATCATTACTCACTTGTCATCTGAAAACCAAAAAAGTCTTAAATCATATATCGAAATATATGTAGTATAACACCACCAATAAAATTTTAACTATCATTTCGTGGACTGCTTTCTCAACAAGTTTAGAAAATGTGGTAGGTTTAAACAAACTTTCCTAAATTGCTTTAATTATATCAATTAAAATTATATTTACGATCATAACCATTTCCTTTCCAAACCTAAACCTGCAATTGTACAGCAACATTCTGGACTAAGTGTATTATTTAATTTACAAACAAACTTTTTCCTGAACACATATCCTGAGCAGAGATTAAATAAACATAATACTGTAATTTTGTATAATGTAAGAGTATAATTTAAGAAGAAGAAATATGTTTTCAAATGTGTGAAATGTTTAACATTGCTAAATCCCAAAACACAACTCACTGGTCCTGAATCTACAATACATCATTTAAAAAAATACGCTAATAAAAAGTCTGTGAAAAAATAAAAATAAATTGTATCTGGCAAATAATTTATCCGAAAAAGTTACCACTGAAACACCGAGACCGACTGCCTGCTACCTATGGTTTGCTACCACCAGAGACAGACTAACAAAGTGAAGCCGGAGCTGCTGCCAGGGTTTGGCTCAGGCTGCATGAGGTGTTTGGCCTGGACCGAGATTCTGTGTGTGTATGTGTCAGAGAGAGAGACAGAGACTGAAGGCCGGCTGTGATAGCATTTGGCTACACTCATATTAGTACCTAACCTAAGAGTTGTGCCTAGGCAGCGAGTGAGTGAGCGTATTTGGGCAGTGACTGGGCTATGCCGTATATGCAGTATATGTGCTGGTTTAGTCACTGTTTGAAATTTCCAGAAAATTCCAGCTGAGATAATATTAGGTCATGAGCATGTGTTTGTATACGTAGCCAGCAAATGGTGAAGTAGTGTGTATTTGGAGGATTTGGCTGTGAAATGTATTTTGTGTGTGTGTGGCTGCTGTGACTGTGTTTTTTTGCAATGTGGGGAAAAACTACAACACAGCCAGTGTTTTGGCTGTGTGTGCAGAGTACGCACACTGGAGGCTAGAGTGATGTTTGGCCGGGTGTGAGTGTGTGTATCCATGATGGTGGCTGAGATACAACAATGTTTGGCTGTATCAAACTGTATCTGTGATAGTCCTTGGCCGAAGGTGCGTACTGTGTGGGTGTGTGTACGCAATCGTGACTAAAACCGTGTTTGGCTCTACGTGTGAAAGTGCGCTACAAAGATGACAGAGTTGTTTTTTCTTTTTTTTTCTTTTTTTTTAATGGAATATGTGTATCTTTATTTAGCTGTGTTTGCATGTGTGTGTATGGGTGTGAAGGTGGCTGCAATAGTACTGGCTGTCTTTGAGCATTGGCGTTTTGTGTGTGAGTGTGTGTTTGGCAGCCAGGTCCAACGTGGTGCTAGCATTCAGGCAGACGGTGAAGGCGGCAGCAGCCTGCGGCCTGAGAGCAGGAGACTCACGGCTCTGTTCTCTTTCTCTCTCATACACACAGAAACACAGAATCTGGGCTGTGGCCAAATGACAGTCCCTGGCTACAATGGCCTTATCATGGCACATACACTTCGACAGACTGAGTACAATATTATAAACAGTGACTCTCCTTTGCGCAACATTTATTGCACAAAAACACAGAATTTGACAGTGGTGATCATCTCATAAGAAACAAAATGAAAAATACACTCACTCACTCACACACACACACAAACACACACACACACACACACACAGATGCATGCAAATTCCTTCCTAAAACACAAAATACATGCTCCTATGAAGCCGCAAATGCCTCGCTCAGAAAAATGAACACACACTTGCCAGAGCACGCTGGACGAATGCCCTTGACACACACTTACAAATTCTTTTTTATGACTGTTGATATTATGTTGTCAGCTAAACAAAAACCAAAAAACAGATGAAGAGACGTGAATTTGAAGAAGACAATTTGCTGTTTTCTAAAGGAAAACAAGCAGGGAGGACTTACAATTTTGCTTCTCTGGGAGATAAATGTTTGTTTTATTTATCTGACAGAATATTGGTAAATAAAACCTTTCAAATACAAAAATTCCTAGATAGCTTTTATAGACACCGTACTCAAGCCTTAATTCACTCTCTGTGATGTGAAACATATTTTAGGGCATTTATAAATCTTAGTACCCATAGCTTTATCTTTATGAATTTCTATTGATGTCATTCCCTCTCTAATTATATGTCACACAACCAACTGTGCCTATGTGTCTGTATGTGTGCATGCATGGGATTATACAAATTCTAGTGTACACCTAAACGCACATCAACGTGGGCATGTATGACAGGTGTGTATGTGTTGGTATCCCTCTCTATTAATGTCTAGTGTCCAGTTGGCCACATACCTGGCGTGTGGACGAAGTAGGCCAGGTAGAGGTCCAGCTCCTTGACGGACACTCCAATGTGGTGTGGCTGGACGCACAGGCCAGGGTTGGTGCACTGTGGTGACTTGACCAGCCGCTCTCCGTCCGTGCTTTCCAGGGGGCTGCCCTTGAACAGGATGACCATCACCAGGTCCAGCCGCCACACCTTGTCGGCCTGTCGCAGGCAGTCGATGCGACGGATCTTGCCCTTCTGGTCGGGGTTGGACAGCACGCAGCAGGGGGGCTTTTTCCCTGTGATGGTGAGCACAAAGTCCTCACGAAACTCAGGCCGGATGTCCTTACGGAGCTTGGCCAGCAGGCGCGAGGCCCACTTCTGCTTGATCTCTGGCTTCTCCCCCAGCAGCTCATCCTTCACTGCGCGCTCTTCCTCCTTGGACATGCGCTTCTCGTGCTTCTTAAAGTACTTGCGCTTGCGGGCCTGCAGGTTGAACCAGGTGTAGGCGAAGGCGCGGACATGGGGCAGAAGGGCCTCGATGAAGGGGTGGAATTCATCCTGGATAAGGGAAGAGGACGGGGGGAGGGTGGAGGAGGAGAGGGAGGAGGGGGGGAAGCAGGAGGAGGCAGTTGAGAGAGAGGGGGAGAATGGGGGAGAGAAGGATGGGGAGAGAGGGAGTGAGGAGGAGGAGGGGAAGAGAGAGGGGGAGAATGGGGGAGAGAAGGATGGGGAGAGAGGGAGTGGGGGTGAGGAGGGGAAGAGAGAGGAGAGGCAGTTAGCACCGGCGCGCAGCATGGAGGAGCGGCGCCTGCTCCGAGTGAGCGGAGGGAGAGAATGAGCGAGAGGCGCCGAGAGAGAGAGAGAGAGAGAGAGAGAGAGAGAGAGAGAGAGAGAGAGAGAGGGAAAGATGCTTAACACTCTAACATAGACATAACACTGAAGGACACACTTTGCAAACCACTGAAGAGCACAACACTCAAAGACTGAAGTAAGAGGTGAAAAATGGAAATAAATTAAATAAATATCCAACTATGAGGGCTTTGCTAATGTAATATTAGTGTAAAATTTGTGTAAAAAAAAATTGTCTTTTATGAATAATAATATTGCTGGACCAGCTACAAAACGAGAACAGAAATAATTCAAGATAACAAAAAACAAGGAAAAAGTAGCAATAAAAATGTGGCATTTATAAAATGTCATACACTAACTACATACAGTATATAATAGATACAACACTGAAATAATCTGAGATAATTCACATACCAAGTCTTAATTATTAAAATGAAAGCAGTCACATTTAAGAGCCACGACATGAAATATTTGCCCATAAATAATATAGTTGCATCTGCACTCAAAATTACTTATCAAAAATATATGTTAATAAAACAAGAATTACGCGGTAGTTACCATTTTGATCTCTCATCATAAATTGACCCCGTCGATTGCAAAGAAATTTAAAATGCAGAACCAGCACAGGGACTGGATTGTTGAGTCAAAACGCGCGAAGTAATGCTGCGTGTATTAGAAAACAAAAGACTGAGGAAAAAAAAATTAAGCAAAAAGAGAAGCTGAGAAACTGTCCAATAAAAGCAGCAGGGGGGAAAAAAGCTGAGAAAGAGGACACAGGCCAAGGGGGGCGCAGTGTAATACCAGCACAAGAACACAGGAGGTACTGTAGCAGGAGCTGCGGGAGAGGTGCTGTTCAGGAGCACAACAGAAGGAGAGTGTAGAGAAGTTTAGCAGGCTCTCTGTTTAAAAAAAAAAAAAAAAGAACAGAGCTGGATGTGCACAAATAAAATAAAACAGATACTGCAGGAAAAAGGATAAAATTGTCAAAAACTAAAACAAGCCTCTTTGTTTGCAAAAATAAGCAGAAAAAATATCTTGATGGGAAAAAAAAACAAAAAAATGGTTGGCAAAGCGGCACGTGCTATTGGTTCAATTCTAATCTGCATAAGACTCACGGAGAGGGAGAGAGAGAGCTGGACAAGGGGGGTGCGGACGGAGGAGAAGAAGAAGAAGAAAAAAAAACAAAAACAAGAGGACCGAATCAATGTTGGAAGACTGTGCACGACCGCTGGCAAACCCGAGTGCCGCTTCTTTTTTCCCCCTCTTTCTCTCCAACTCTGTCTCTCTCTTTCTCTCTTCCTCTCCACTTTCCGTCTCTAACCATTGACTGAGTCTGTGCCAACACGCAGAGGGCCCACCTATTTGGCATCGAGTCTCAAACAGCCCAGCCAATACGCACGCTCCCAGCGCTGAAAGGGAGGGAAGAGAGAGAGATGGCAGAGGGAGAAGCAAAGAGGTGGGGGATTGGATGGTTGGTGGCTGGTAGTGGAGAGAGAACGGGGGGGGGGGGGGCACTGATTGTGTGTGGTGCAGGCAGAAGGCACGTCATTAGCCAAATAGACAAGTTCCAATCTAGTGCAAAGGCAAAGTCCAGAGGATATTAATTTTACATGCATCCAGACAGCACCCGTCCTTCTAAAGCCTGTCCCCCCCCTCGCCGCCTTCGTCACCAACATGCTCACAGTCATCCCAACAAACCAGCTTGCTCTCCAACCACCACCACAAACCCCCCACATCTCCCTCCAGAAACACCCCTCTCTCTCCCTCTCTCTACCTCTCTCTCTCTTTCTGTGCTCGCGTTACACCACCTTGGCATGGGATGGCATGAGAAAACACAGACCCAAAATCCCACTAGACCCTGAGACCAGCAGCTGCTCCTGGATTTACCACACAAACAAAGAGAGGAGGGGGAAGAAAAAG